GCAGGCCGAGCGTGCCGCGCTGTCCTGGGGGAGGAGGCGAGGGTGCCCGCAGAGGTGCGGGCAGCGGCGCCTCAGGGTTGCCAACAAAGCAGGATGAATTGTTTTATCCGGTCAAGGAATCCAGCTTTTAAACTACATTTGGGATTCTGACCAACAGACCCACACGTGGAAACTTCCAAATCCCGTCTTAGGATATAAAGCGTTTTCAGAGCTCGCCCTACGTGAAATTCAAATTAATTTTGAAGGATTTGTAATTTTACATGGCCTGAACAGCCCTTGTCTTTATCCGACTGCAGATACTGCGTTGTGACCGGTTTTCTTTCAGGAGCTTGTTTGATTATTCCTGTGCGCACCTTACACATACTGTTGGTAAACATAAACATTTTATAACTTGCCTGGTGTTCGTTTTTAGGACAGATGACAAACTTTCTCACAAACTGGATACAGATGTTTATATCTCGGAACAGAAACTGGGTTTTGGTTTACAACCTATTAGGGTGAAATACTGTTTTGTTTTCACTAGAGGTCTCTGTTTAATCATAATGAAAAGAAGGAGCTTGTACTAAAGGTCTGTCTTGTTAGCTTGCAGATACCAACGCTCTGCCAAGCCTGAAAGAACTTCTGGAGTCTGTTCCAAACACAGAGAAAAGGACCTGGGATTTGTTTAGTTGGATTTTGTCATCTAAGGTCTTCATGATACAAAGTACTAAGAAGCAGGAGGTAAGTGTTGAATTTTGAAAGTCTTGATTAGAATTGGCCTTTTAAGGCAAACTTGCGCTCCAGAAAGTATTTCCTCCTGCCAGAAGTTGGTTATTGTGAGAGCTTGGCAGTTCAATGTGAATGCATTTTTTTTTTTCCTGTATATAGAGAAGTGAGGGGCGTTTTTTACATAAAATTTTCAGGAACACTACTTGGAAAAAATAGTTACCACTGTCAGTAGTTGATGATGGGCAGTGATTGCAGTTGGTTACTCCCATTAATGGAGCATGTGCCTGTGTGTGCTAGACCAAGATAGTGCAACTCAGGTGTCACGGAACTAGGTCCTGCTTCTCACTGAGAAAGACAATTTTGTCCTTCTGCGTACTGCCCCAGTGGAAAGGTTGAGAGCCACTGAGGAACTTCCGTAACAGGGATCAAAATAGTGGTAGAGATTAGCAGCAAGATGAAAACAACTTCTGTTTTCACTTTTTTTCCTCTTCCAAGATCAGCTGACGAATATATCGTCTTAGTAGCTGAAGTGGCATGGTGGAATTGTGATATTGTCCTTCCATCATCAATTAATTCATAATCACAATTCAGGTGGGTTTTTTTCTGCAAAGAAGAATTAGAATTTAGCTTTGATAGCAGGGCACTGTCAGAATTCCCACTGTACATTTACTCCCTTAGAATCGTGATAGTGTTGAATTGTAACGCAGAAAGCTTAATCAAAATACATAAAGCAGCGTGAAAGAGTAAGGGACAATAAGCAAAATTTCCAGTGAGTAACCTAACCCCATAAACCAACACTCATATTCCTTCCTGTGTTTAAGTACGAGAAGATCCAAGAACTCACAGGGATGTCTGGGGCTGCGGTTCCTGCTCCAGACTACCTCTTTGAGGTCGTGTACTGTGATCAAATGAATACCAAGTTTGCCGAGACCAAGGGAGAGCGGGACCTCATCTATGCCTTCCACGGGAGCCGCCTCGAGAACTTCCATTCCATACTGCACAACGGCCTGCACTGCCATTTGAACAGGGTGAGGCTCCTGGTACTGGCACCATTTTCTGTTGGTCACTTGCAGCTAGTGATACTTTTAAAAAAAATAGGCCCGAATTCCTTTAGGGATATGAAATGAGCTGATAGTCTTACACTGCTGTTTTCACCTCCGTGTAGGCCTTTGTGGATGGCTGTGTTGGATTTTCTAGTGCAGCGTGAGGGTAAAAGCTGGAAGCAGAATAAAACCCTTTTCTCCCGTGTGAGGAATTATGGCTATCCTTTGCTTCTTTGTAAGGAAGTCTATTGCCTCCAGAAGTACTGGCCTGAGAGCCTGCAGCTGGAAGGTGCCTGTGCATAGAGGAAGAGGATAGTGACCCAGGCGATGTAGAGATTCTCTCTTTCTGCTTGGCCTCAAGTTCAGGTCACCTAAGTTTTAGGTGCTACTTGCAAATGGAGCCTTCTTTAAATGGCCTGGTTAAGGGCGACATCCCATAGGATTTGCACCTCTTCCATTTCAGTGGAAAGGCAGTAGGGACTCTAGGTTTTTCGTGTCATCTGCTTAACCTTCCAGTCAACCTGGACTATGTTTTTCCTCCACGTTCTTTGTGACTAACGGCTTATCAGGTACAGTAGACTTACTGGATTAATAATTTTAGCCAGTGTGATAAACCCCCTGACTTGAAGTTACTAAAACAGGTTTGAAAGGAATTCACAACTGAAAAGTACTTCCCTCTTTTCTAGTAAAGCACGGATTTAAATGCAAGTAAAGCCTTACCTTGTTTGTGGAGTTCAGATTATTTGAATGATGGCAGTGTCAATAAATCAGTGAAATGCCTCTAATAGCAGTGCAGTCATGTTGATAGAAAATACTTAAGCTGGCAAACTAAATCCAAATCCGGGAAAGCATGAATCTGTCCACACCAAGGGCTGTGCCAAGCAGCTAATTTGAGGGATGGGAGAGGGCAGCTGCCCCACCCTGAGGAAGTTGTGCCAGGACAAAAACAGTGCATGGACCAGGTCCAACACGGGTCAGAAAAGACTTTCTTAATCTACCTTCAGAAACATAACTGCCAGTCTGAAAGTAAAGAACAAAGTATGTTGTCTGTAGTTTACACTAGAGGATTTTAGGATATATTTCTGCTCCATTTCAGACATCCCTGTTTGGTGAAGGTACTTATCTTACCAGTGACCTGAGCCTGGCTCTCCTTTATAGCCCTCACAGTCTTGGTTGGCAGCAAAGTGCGTTGGGCTCTGTCCTTAGCTGCGTAGCTGTTTGCGAGATCATTGACCATCCAGATGTAAAGTGCCAGGTCAAAAAGAAAGGTGAGTCTACGGCAATAATAACTAAGTGTAGTTCATCTCTTAGCGCTTCTTGTATTTCAGTTTTGTGCATATCATGCTATCATATAAATGGTGCACTCTGTGGAGTGTGGATACCCTTTGGCAGAAACTGCCTGCAGACTCCTTTTCTGATGGACCCGTCAACAAACGCACAACAGCCTCGTTGTCTGTGAAGCTTCTCTTCAAATAGTATATTTAAGAGGTAGAAAATATTTTGGTGGCATCATTTGTTTTCTGGCATCATCTGTTTCAGTAGTATGATAAAATCATGTTCCATAATGCCTGATCATTTCACCTGTGATGATAGAACAGAAGCATCACAAAAGCATCAAGAATGAGCTATGTTAGATGTCTAGGGAGCCTCTACTCAGACTGTCCTCCTTTAACTGCCTCCTGCTTGCAGGGCTCAATGAGTCCTTCGACATTGTTTTTCTTTCCCTGTTAATATCAGCAGCTCCTCAAGCACTGTGTGGGAGACCTCTTTATCACCCTGCTCGGGGCCATAGTGCCATCCATACCAAGGATGACTAGGAGTGGTATAGCCTCAAGCAAACTTTTCAGTCTATTCTTGGACGCTAAGGGATTCAGGGGAATACCGGGACTAGGTCTTTGGTTATCTCATTGCCACTCTTGTGTATATGTGGGGGGGTTGGGTGTTGGTTGTTTGCCTTTTTACAGTTACTTGGTTGTGTGTCTTTTTTTGCTTTCCTATTCCCCCCCCCAAGACCTCTTCTTTCCTCTTCCCATGCAGATTCAGAAGAAATAGACAGACAAAGAGCAAGAGTGAAAAACAGCGAAGGGGGTGATGTACCACAGAAATACTTTGTTGTCACAAACAATCAGCTTTTACGAGTTAAATACTTGCTAGTATATTCACAGAAGCAGCATAGGAGGTAAGAGTTCAGCTGTCTAAAGTGATGAGCATGCTATGACAGCCAGATAAGCACATCTTATTTTTGAAAAACAACAGAAGGGAGATACACTGCACTGCCAGAATTTGGTTTTAGTCTGTTTCTAGTGAAATAAGGTTTACATGGTCATGTTACAGCTGTTTCACTCTTTGACACTCCCAGGCTCAGCTAAATTTGCTTTTTCACCAGACCTGTAAGCACTTAATATCTTTGAGACCTCGATAATCTGATTGTGGCAGGAAAGAAAGAGTAAAACACTGACGAGCGCAGCTGTTAAAACTAGGGCAGTTTTAACTCTGCCCTTACCTGCCCTAAGTGGCAGCATTCAAACAGCTAATCAATGTGCATGTACAGGCCAGGCAGTTACAGCTCCAAACCACAGAGAAGGGTGTGAACATGGGGAGAAAGGACAGGATTGTGCACTGAGACTTGGGGAAAAGGGATAAGGAAAACAGGCTTTGTTAGTTGCAGGGATTGTGGAGCAACTTTCTGTTTTTATTGCATTAACTAAACCATTTAAAATAACAAAAGCTAAGATGCTCTTTGCCAAAGTATTCCTGCAAGAACTCATGCACTTTTCCCTTTTCAGGCCTCCTAGTCAATCTTCCTGGTTTTACACCCACCGTTTTGCCGTCATGATGATGCTGTACCTACTGCTGCTAATAGTGATAGGGGCCAGCAACTCACCAACCTTCGTCTACTACTGGCACAGAATGTTTGACTCTGAGAGATGAATTGCCCGAGATGATAAACTGTTATTTTCACCACGTGCCTTAATAATAGCCGATCTGCAATGCACTGCATCTGTTCCAGAGCGCTGGAAATAAAGGTGCCTGGAGCTTTCCAGTCCTGTCTCCAATATGTTATCCTCGTGGCATCTTTCCATTTATTCTTATTTTCTGTGTTGCGGTGATTCGTGAGGATGCCCAGTACAGCTGAAAAGGGCCACAGTGGTGCAGCTTAGCATGAACCAATAGTTAAGAGTCCATGGGAAAAAGTTATTTAAAATTAATGAAAACTCAGTGTGGAAACACTCAAGTGTAACTTATTTCCTGTCGAAGTGAGGTGGTAATACTTGCACAGGTTGAAAAGGGGAATTTTTCTGTATGTCAGGCAAGGCAACCAGTTTGTTTTCAGAAATGAATTTAGTGATATTTAGCATGTACCAATGCAGATGGGATCACTTTTAAAACTAACTTTGGCTTTGGCCAGCAATTTTTATATTTGAGCGTAATGATTGTAAGAAAACAGTAAGAAATAAAACAATAACCAAAATGGAGGAAGTTAAATGGTTTCTAGTATGGGGTTCCCCCCCCCCAAAACATCTACAATGTCTGTGCTCTCAGCCATGATCTATCTTGTCCTTGGTTAGTGTGCAGATCAGACAACCTGAGGCCCTTCAACATCAATACTGAATAAGGGTGATTTCTATCTGCATTCCGCTTGTATTTTCTGTGCCAAGAAGAGGGCGGGTGAAGGGTTCTGCTTACCCTGCCACCTGACAGGCTTTTTGGGGTTGGGGCTGCCTGGTTTTTGGGATCAGGTTCAACATTTTTGCTGGTATTGAATTGTTTCCGGCCTCCCTTTACGAACAAACGGACTAACTAGCAGTAACATGCCAGCTATTTCCTGAACACTTGTAAGAAGTGGAATAAAATGGCAGCAGAACTGGTAGGGTTGTATTTTATATCTGTGAACATTGGTAGTAAAGTTAACTTCATGTAGACTTCATTTAGGTCTCCATGTGACAACTTGTGCACAATACTGTACGTTTGTAAGATAGACTGTCCACACCAAGCTCTCACAAAGAGGTTGAGTTTTCTATGGTCAAAATTATGGCAGTTATGCTGTTTGCGAAGTGCTTTGGCTTAATGCTGGTGTGTAAAACTTCAGTACCTCTCAGATCCATCTTTTCTGATCTTGAAGAAGGGCATTTGGGGGTTTGTTTGAAAAGACACGTATAGGTACGCGCAAGTTAGTTGTGCAACATAAACAGGGCAACATTACCCACCTCCTGTCCAAGTCCTTTGCATTTGCTGCTGTTACAAAGCAACCTACAACTACCTGAAACTGCAAAAGGAGCAAAGGACTGATCTGTGATTAGTGACTGGGCATGGGATAAATCTGGTGAAGAGCCCAGGGTTTATAGGCAAAAAAAAAAAAGCTAGATGTGTGGAACAGTTCAAGCTTGCAGCCTAGATTTTAGTAGTGGACTTGATAAATGCAGATTTTCATTGCACAGTGAACCCTAACCACAAAAAAGCCCCCTCTCATCACATATTTCCAGCAAATGAGTCTATGATTACTACCTTGCTCATTAAATATTTCAAAGAAAAATCTCTTCTTTCTCTGATGTTTTTCTGGTACCTAATTGCCAGAAATAATGACGTGGTAATCAGGTTTTCTAACTCCAGTCTGAGAACAAGTTCATTTACAGCAACCCCTCTTCTTGGTGGATAGAGCTAGAAGCATTTATTCCAGTTAATTTTGCTGCCAGAACAAATTTATTTATTCACCATAGAGCTTGCAAAACAAGAACATTATAATCCAATTCCCCATTGCCTTTTACAGTCCATTAATAATGCTCACTGGTACAGCACATTGCACCGCCTCGGCCCAAGAAATGTATGTGCTAATTATAGCATTGATTTGCAATTAAAATGTACATAAACTAACAATTCATTGCACAACAGATTCAACTACTTTATAGTAGTTTACTCCTTGATATTCCAATGCGGAAGCTTGGGCTGTGAGACACACATGGGGTTCCTGGGAGTATTTGCCCACTTCTGGTCCAGCTCAGCACGTTATATACAATGTTGTGCCATATAGATGTCAGTTTAGGGTGAAACCAGCCAGAAAATGTAAAGGTATTTGATACTGTCTAAAGGGTTTTGTCTTGTTAAAAGGCTTGTATGTCTGGAAACGAAACATCTTTTAGAACAGATGGGCTTTGGGGGGCCCTTTGGAGAAGGAGGGGGTTAGGCAGCAGTTGCGGGGGGGTGGCTGTTTGCACTGCGGGGAAAGGCGCGATCCTGGGAGGAACAGACGGGGAGGAGCGCGGCGGGGTTTCGAGCCTCACTCTTAGGGTTTCTTTGCACAGGAAAGCTGCTGAAGAGTAAGCAAAAGGAATAAATGCACAGCGGCCGTTCAGCGCTATCTCTAGCTAATGTCTGCCTGGGCTTTTTATTTGGCTTTAAGCCATTCAGCTGAGCTCTCCTCCCAGGTGTGGGCAATAGCATCTGTGTAGGGAGCTAGTTCTTCTGCACCAGCTGCTCCAGGCTACATCCCCAGAGAGAAAAGTGTTGCAGGGGCTCTCACGGCAGACGCACACAGTCCCGCGCTGCAATTACATCAGCAGGCGATAAAGGCAAAAAGCGGCTTTTTCTGCATTAGACCCACGAGAAAGAGATGGCTGCAGGTAGGGGCTGAGTCCTGATGGACACGTCTCGAGTGCCCCTCGGAGCCCCATCCCTGACGCTCCCCGCCTGCGGGGATGCTGGGCACAGCCTCCTCGGTGTGAAGCTCCACACCTGCGGAGTGAGGTAACACTGTCCTCAAAGGCAACGGGAAAATAAATACATTGAAGGTGCTCAGATTCTACCTTACCAGGCCAGCAAAATGCTTAACATCCTACTCCCACGCTTGTTTTCCGTGCTCCCTGCTGATTTCAGCATGTGTTTCACAACGTGGCAAGATGCAGTCAGCTGAATTAATGTGAGTATTGTGCTGAGTAACTAACAATATTACAAATTAACCCAAGGTTCACTTTAACCTCTTAAGCCATTTGCGTGGCTCTTTGAACATGCACGGTACTATAAAAATGCTAGTGGGGAAGGAATCGGAATTTTCTCCCGAACAAAGGGCCACTGTGTCTGAAGCAGGCAGCCCAGGGTGAGGTCAAGGAGTTGTAAAATATAGAGCTACCTGTGCTTATTAATATGTTCGTTACATTACTGCGGTGAATATTAAGGAACTGTTACTGAGTCAGACAAATCCGATCCTGCTGTGACTGCAAGGAGAAGCGTGGCAGCTGGTGTTTCCCGGAGGGAACGGGCAGATTTTGGGGAAGTGCGAGAATTTTCCTCCCATAAGGGGAAATAGACAATATAGATATAAAAATATAAGTATTTTTTGTATACATATATTTTACATATATGTAGGGAGAGGTCTCAGGAGCCAGCTGGGGAGGAGGGTAGGTGCTGTTGGAAACCAGGGGTTTGAGGGAATGTGGGGAGAGAGGGAACCACCGCAGAAAGCAGGACCACCCCGGGGCGGGGAGGCACAAGGCTCCGGGTTTCACGCTCCTGGTGAGGGATGCAACAACTTTTTGCTCTCTGAAGTACAAACGGATTTAAGACATGCAGAATCAGAAATGAGGGGACATTCAAACCAGGCCTGGGCTTCGGTCCACCTCGGGCAGGGCCCAGACCTGGGGCAATCCCCAGCCACCCAAAAAATAGCTGGTGCTGCCCGCCTGCTCGCTCCCCCTCCCCACACACGTTGGGTGCGCGGCTTGGCAGCACGCTTTTCTGGTGACATTTTCCTTCTTTCCTGAAAGCTGTTACTTTGGGCACCTTGCCCACACTCCGGGCTTCCCAAAATATCAGCCTTGAGCACCAGCAACGGGAGGGAAGGTATGGAGAGGCAGGCAGAAGGAGCAGAGCTGGAGTGCCTGCAGGCATCCCGCGGGATGCGCCGTGCTTCCCCCAAGGACCAAGGTACCTATCCTTGCCGGCATTCTGATTTTTCTACTCTTAGCCTAAAGCCAAACCTGCTTCTGCCCTCTCACCATACCCATGGGGTGTAAAGGTGGTGGGTTGTTCCCACGAGGGAAAAAGTGCTTCTTGCTCCTCAGAGAAGGTCTCCAAGCTCTCCTGCTGCCGTGCAAGAGGGGACAAGCGGCCTTAAGAGTGTGAGCAACGCTGGACCTGTTCTCTCCCCCTCAGCAAAAAGTAGATGAAGACTGTTTTCAGGAGATTAAAGACACTTTCCTGCTTATTTGAAGCTTGCCAGAAAACCAGCACACCTTCAAGGTCTGCCTCCCACTAACGATCACCAGTAACAGAAACAGAGAGCCCAAACGAGTGTCTGATGAAGAAATATAGCTTCCCCTACCCCAAGTCATTCCCACCGCCTTACAAGAAACTCTTCTTTTGCACAGGTCGAGCTGAGCCAGCCCGGCAGGAGCGAGCATAGCTCCCGTTAGCATTGCGTAATTAACCTCAAGCCAAACGAGCCCAGGAAAGCCAAACAGTGATTACGCATCTCACTGGAGTTTGGATACTTCCTAAAGGGCTCACATTAATCCCCACCAGCCAGTCTGGGCTCCTGCAGCTCTAACTGAATTTTTTTTTCTCCTTGGGCAGCATGTTTAGCATAAATGATAGTTAGCATGGGGAAAGGCGAGTGCTCGACACCCGACCGCAGCATCACATCACCCTGAGCACCGTGGCTTCCCATATCCTCACTGCCCAGCCTCAGCCAACATGCAAACACCACTTGCCACCTCTCTAATTTTAATAATCTGTTAGCTGGGACACTGGGAGACCGATCCAGAACCTTTCTGACCGATGGGAATCCATCCCGTCTTGGAGACAGAGTCAAGAAAGTCCCCTCGGTGCCCAAAGGGAATTTGCTTTCTTGGGGGTAGACACCTCCCGCCTTCGCTATGCGCACAACCACAGCGAGTCAAAAAGGGTTTTTAAAACAAAGGTCTTTCATCCCGATAAAGTCCAGATGCTCATTCAAAACAGCAGTCACCACAGAAACGCCCAGGGAACTGCCCTCTGCCAAGTCCAGAGCTCCTGAGCTGCCCAAAGATTTGACAAAACCGAAAAGAAATCCCACCTAGTTCAAAACTAAATTTCTCTTCATAAGCAAAAAATGCATTTCATAACAATCAGCAGAGAATGAACAAATAAATAATCTGCTATTCCTAATTCAATACAGTTGAATAAAGCCACCTCTTGAACCCACATCCAGAGAAGAGGCCTCCACCTTCACAAGCAACTTCTGGCATGTTGGTGAAAAGCAAAAAGAATCCATTTTACTCACCACAGCTCAGCCAATCCCCTCCAGCAGCCTCCCTTGCCCTCACAGTGCAGCCAAGGACCCGTCAGCACCCACCTGGCACCCATGGGTGCTGATGGGCCCCTCCCACCCACAGGTGGTTCCCATCACCTTCCTCGTCAGGACACCCCAGGCATCACCTGTGAGGTGGCTGCACCCGCCCTGCTCGGGGCAGAGACAAGGTGGTGGTGTTGGGTCAAGCCATTAAGGTAAAGAAAATGTGTATAAATGAGAGGGGAACACAGGGAGGAGAAAATGTGGGGTTTGCTCCCATCAGCCCATGCTGTGGTCTGAGACCTGCCCGCTCGTGCCCTGGAGAGGGGTTGGGGACAGAGACAGTCAAGGCTTTGTCACCCTCTGGTTACCCCAAATACTCTCTCTCCTGGTCAACCCTGCGTCCCAGAGAGCTGCTGGTAAGGATGTGTTCCACCAGCCCCCGCATGCCAGAACAAGGCAGCAGGGACTGTTTTCCCTTCTGGTTGTGTCCCAAAAGGGAGAAGAAACCCTGTCCCGTCCCATCCCACTGTGGTTCTTCATACCCCTCTTGCCCAAGCCCCTCCATCCCCACAGCACCTTCTCCCTCCCCACCATGGAGGCAGCCCAGGGGGACTAATGCCCCTGCATTAGTCACTCCCCAAAGATTTACATCCTGCCCAGGGCTTCACACACGGCTGTGGGAGAACTACACAGGCTCTCAGCCAGGAGAACCAACATTTCCAGAGAGCCTTTCCTACAGCGGGTGGAGAAAATGGAGTAAAAGCCCGTGATCGCACCAGTGTAGGTGCTAAGGGCACTTATAGATCGGCCACCCGGGGAGACATGGCCCTGGACCATGGAGGAGCCAGCGTGTCTGCTCCCAGAGGTTGATGCTGGAAGTGTGGCAGATGCTTGATCCCAGAATCAGGATGGTTTTCTAGTTGTTACAGGGCTGCCAGAATATGGAAGAATGACCATAACTACCCCCAAATGTTTTTCACCGTGACTACAGGCAGGAGACACGTTCTCAGTTTCTGGCCAGAGACCCTCACCCACCAAAGCTGGGTGGCAAACCTCCTTATGACAGTCTCCAGAATAACCCTATGGGACAAAGCAGCCCTCAGAGCTGTGCCTCCCATCTCCTTCTGGGTACGTCTCTTCAGCAGACCGTGTTGACTGTTGTCCCATTGGATCCCCCTGATGCCACCCCACCATTTACAGCGCCATCCTTGATGTTCTTCTCTGAGGCTGAGACAGGTTTGTGTCTCTTGTGCCTGGTAATGGCTGTTTCAATGCCCCTGAGACACAACTGCACGTCCTCCCGAAAGGAGGGGGTGTACAGCCCGTAAATGACAGGGTCGGTGCAGGTGTGCAGCAAGCCAAAGAGAAAGAAGCTGTGGTTGACATACTCTGGCATCTTCTGGATCATGGCTGGCTGGAACCAGTACCACAAGCCCAGGAAGTAGTATGGGGTCCAGCAGATGATGAAGGTGGCAGCAATCACTATGGTCATCTTGAGAGTCTTCATGCGTGCCTTGGAGATGTGGTCTTTTTGATTTCTTATCAAACCTGCCAGGAAGAGCCAAAAGGACAGCTGGAAATGGGGGAAAACCAGGAGAACATAACCGTCCATGACTCTGCTTCTGCCAGAGAGGGGAGCCCTTCTCATGGTCTGGTCCATGGCCCACAGGAAGCAGAAGACAGCAAAGAGGGAGGTCAAGAAGTTTGTGTAAAACCCCTTAGTTGGGTTCCCCTTCACAGGGTGTTGGGACAGACCCAACAACGCTCCAAGGGCTGGAGCAGGTTCAGTCATAGGGTCATGGTGGACACTAAAGGGCTACGACCTGCTTACCTTTATTGATCTTTAGCTGCTTACTGATCTCCCAAATGATCCGGATGTAGCAAACAATCATGACGCTCAGGGGGGTGATGTAGAGGGTGGTGAAGGTGAACATGTTGTAGACGGTTTCCTCCCAGTGCGCTCGGAAGCTCCCATGTGTAACGCACTGGGTGAAGTTCCCTCCCGGGACCGTGTGCAGGTGGAAGAGGAAAAGCTGAAATGGAGAACCAGATAATAACTCAGAGAGACTTTGGAACAGGGCACCACGTCCTGCAGATGCTCCTAGCTGTGCATGGAGAGCACCTCCCTGCCACTGTTGGACTAGGAGAGAGGCTCTGGGCCCCTAACTCATGGCTACAGCCAGGATGGGTGGGACCTGGCAGCTGTGAAATCCCATTTTCTGGCCATACCGAATGTTATTTTGCTCAGGAACTGCTCAGGTTTGTCTTGATCTGCTCCGACATGTTTTGCAGTGGGTGCAGTGATGCATTTTTGGGAGAAGATAACCACGTGCGTGAGGAATAAAAAATAGCGGATTCAGTTTTTTCCCAGCCCTTAGCGTAACACCCTGGTGGTGTTGCAATGAACGGGTGCTATAAGGAAGGTGCAAAGCAGCGCTGAGCACCCAACGCAGCAATCACACCACTTTGCACAGCAAAGC